GTCTCTGAAGAAGCAGGCAGATGTTGAAGAAAATTTGTGCTGAAATAAACTGGCCTAAAAATATCAAAGAACTCCTTCCTTCTTTTTTTTACTCTCTGAATATTTCTTCATTTTGTGATTAAGCTTCATTTTTCTTATTATTCATTATTTGTTTCATTACTGATTTCAAAGTAGTTCATTAGTTTATTTAACTCCCATTTAGTTTGTTGTGGCATTCATCAAAAGGGAGTCTTCTGCTGAAACAGGTGTTTTTCATCCTTTGACATAAAATATGAAGGGATCTTGCTACTCCTTCAAGATACCAGAGTTGCCAAAATTTAGGCACACTAGAGGTGAAGGGGGGATCATTTTACAAATGTTAGCAGCCTGTAAGTTTCAATAGGAGACAAATATACTTTCCTCCTTCTTGTAACTGCTGTTGCGCATTCCATTCACAACTCACTATGCTTTAAAGGCATCAAACATGCCAAATTCCCAGTAGGGTAGTGTCTTTATTTAAAAATGGTTTTTTAAAGCATGTTGTTGTTGTTCATTCGTTCAGTTGTCTCCGACTCTTCGTGACCTCATGGACCAGCCCACGCCAGAGCTCCCTGTCGGCCGTCACCACCCCCAGCTCCTTCAAGGTCAGTCCAGTCACTTCAAGGATGCCATCCATCCATCTTGCCCTTGGTCGGCCCCTCTTCCTTTTGCCTTCCACTTTCCCCAGCATAATTGTCTTCTCTAGGCTTTGCTGTCTCCTCATGATGTGGCCAAAGTACTTCAACTTTGTCTCTAGTATCCTTCCCTCCAGTGAGCAGCCGGGCTCTATTTCCTGGAGGATGGACTGGTTGGATCTTCTCGCAGTCCAAGGCACTCTCAGAACTTTCCTCCAACACCACAGCTCAAAAGCATCGATCTTCCTTCGCTCAGCCTTCCCTAAGGTCCAGCTCTCACATCCGTAGGTTACTACAGGGAGTACCATGGCTTTGACTAGGCGGATCTTTGTTGCCAGTCTGATGTCTCTACTCTTTACTATTTTATCGAGATTGGACATTGCTCTCCTCCCAAGAAGTAAGCGTCTTCTGATTTCCTGGCCACAGTCTGCATCTGCAGTAATCTTTGCACCTAGAAATACAAAGTCTGTCACGGCCTCCACATTTTCTCCCTCTATTTTCCAGTTGTCAATCATTCTTGTTGCCATAATCTTGGTTTTTTTTATGTTTAGCTGCAACCCAGCTTTTGCGCTTTCTTCTTTCACCTTGATTAGAAGGCTCCTCAGCTCCTCCTCGCTTTCGGCCATCAGAGTGGTGTCATCTGCATATCTGAGGTTGTTAATGTTTCTTCCAGCAATTTTCACCCCAGCTTTGCATTCATCAAGCCCCGCACATCGCATGATGTGTTCTGCATACAAGTTAAAAAGGTTGGGTGAGAGTATGCAGCCTTGCCGCACGCCTTTCCCAATCTTGAACCAGTCTGTTGTTCCGTGGTCAGTTCTTACTGTTGCGACTTGGTCCTTGTACAGATTCCTCAGGAGAGAGACAAGGTGGCTAGGTATGCCCATCCCACCAAGAACTTGCCACAATTTATTATGATCCACACAGTCAAAGGCTTTAGAATAGTCAATGAAGCAGAAATAGATGTTTTTCTGAAACTCCCTGCCTTTCTCCATTATCCAGCGGATATTGGCAATCTGGTCTCTCGTTCCTCTGCCTTTTCTAAACCCAGCTTGAACATCTGGCAACTCTCGCTCCATGTATTGCTGGAGTCTTCCTTGCAGGATCGTGAGCATTACCTTACTGGCATGAGAAATAAGGGCCACTGTACGGAAGTTTGAGCAGTCTTTCGCATTTCCCTTTTTTGGTATGGGGATATAAGTTGATTTTTTCCAGTCTGATGGCCATTCTTGTGTTTTCCATATTTGCTGGCATATGGCATGCATCACTTTGACAGCATCATCTTTTAAGATTTTAAACAGTTCAGCTGGGATCCCGTCGTCTCCTGCTGCCTTGTTGTTAGCAATGCTTCTTAAGGCCCATTTTAAAGCATACACATTGCCTAATACTTAACCCACACCACACTCCTCAGTAATCCAACAGCCTGTTCTGGCAGACTTTCAATTGAAATTAATCCTTGAATCATAAAGCTGGAAGAGACCATAAGGGCCATCCAATCCACTCCCCTGCCATGCAGGAACACAGAATCAAGGCACCTTGACAGATGGCCATCCAGCTTCTACTTAAAAACCTCCAGTGAAGGAGATTCCACCAGGCTCCAAGGCAGCACATTCCATTGCCAAACAGCTCGTACCATCGGGAAGTTTTTCCTAATGTTTAGGCAGAATCTTTGTTTCCCTGCAATTTGAATCCATTGCTCTTTGTGTCTCCAGAGCCACAGAAGACAAGATTGCCCCCTCCTCAATGAAACATCATACCATATATTTCAGCATGGTTATGTTCCTTCTCAGCCTTTTTCTCTCCAAGATAAACATGTCCAGCTCCCTAAGCCATGGATAATTTTGGTCACCCTTCTCTGGACGCATTTTGCTTGTCAATATCCTTCCCAGATTATGAAGCCCAGAACTCATCAGAGTATACCAGGTGAAGTCTGCCCGAAACAGAATAGAGTGAAATTACAACTTCCCACCATCTAGTAGACGCTATACTCCATTTTTAAAACAGCCCCCATTCTGACAGATACTCTGGTCTTTCTAAATCTTCATCCAGAATATATCTAGAAAGGTAGCTTATACCAGCTTATATCTCCCTTCCCAGCCAGGCTTTCTGATTTTTCTCCAGCTCAGAGAAGAAGGAGAAAGGCCTCCTCACTTTCCAGGTAGCTTCTCTCTTGTCTCTGGTCAGCTGAGAGGCAGAGAAGCATTCCCTCCCCCAAAGCCGAGACTGCGAGTGGAATTGCTTCTGCTTGCACCCAGCTGGGAGTGGGCTCAAAATGGATAGCAAATCCATTTTTCAGTAATGTGCGCCTCAAAAGTAAGGTGTGCATTACAATTGATGGTACACTACACTCAAGTAAATATGGTATTTAAACCTAAACATAAAAACAAGAAGGAAGATTGAACATGGTATTTCTTACTGCCCAACTAGAGAAATATCAAGAAAAGTCTGTTGCTGCTCCCTTCCAAATCATTTATCTTATCCCACCAAGCATCCGTTCATCTTGAGACATTTTATGCATCTCTGGTGTCAGCATCCTAAACTTTCAATTTTATCCTTTCATTTAATAACCCTACAAGGCTGATTTTCGTCTTCCTTTTTGGCTTAAATATTTGTGTTTCCAAACTCTGGCTAAGTAGTGTGGCCTTCTTTGGAATCTTGGCATCATATTAAAATGTTCATAAGCTGGATGTGGTTTCATAGGACTCTTGCAGTATCGAACATTGAAATATGTTTTTGAGTATAAAGCAGATTAAAAACTGATGTATTCTACATAAAGTGTGTATATTGTAAGTGCACATCTGTTTCTATCATTTTCACAAGCTGAACATTTGAAGCATATGATCACACGAGCATCCTCTATCTATTATACAGACAAGCCAATACATATGAGGTTAAATAAAAACAGAGGTAGCAATAGGCTTTGTGTAAATTTAATTTTCATAAATGCTCAGAACTTGTAAGTACAGACATTAAAACCAACTTTCCATGGTAAATTCCTAGCAATGACATTTTTTCACTTTACTAGTGGTTATCAATGACTACATTCCAAACTGGAATTACAAATGAAAGTTGAATTTGTAACTAGAAAATAGTTGTCCACATTTATAGCTGTTGAAACATCACATATTAAAGGCTGTCCAATGGTTGTGAAATGATAATTCCTACAAAGGCCCAGCAGATTGATATTCTGACTGCTTTCCTTCTGACACACAAATCACAATAAATAATCTCCCTGGGATTGATCTCCCAGGGCTTAACTACTTAGACATTAAAACCCAAACTCACCCTGAATTGGGTCCTGGCTGTCCCTATGACATTTCTCTACTTTCAGAAGGTGTCATAGGTTAAACTAGTTAATTTGGTTTAGCCCCACATTAATAAAAGTCAGGTAATGCTATGAAGTATCACATGACTTTGGGGCACATCAGATAGCAATTTCGGTTCCAGTTCAGACCAGTCTGTTGTCCACACAGGTCACCCCCACTATTGGCTCTCTCCTTTTTCCTGTTCATGAAGAATCCTATAGTGTTAGCACAGGGCACTCACAATGTCCAGGAACTCACACAGAACTCTGTGATCAGCTAAAGGTAGCAAGTGACGCAGGGGAGTGACAGTTTAGCAAAACCAGCATGGTCTTAGCCTGCCTGTACCTTATAGACTCCAACATGTTGCCAAAGCAGATTGAAGAAGGTCAACTACTGAATGGCACATGTTCTCTATCAGAAACTAGAGCTGATATGGTCTATCCCAGGGGTCTTCAAACTAAGGCCCGGGGGCCGGATGCGGCCCACCAAGGTCATTTACCCGGCCCTCGCTCAGGATCAACCTAAGTCTGAAACGACTTGAAAGCACATAACAACAACAATCCTATCTCATCAGCCAAAAGCAGGCCCACATTTCCCATTGAAATACTGATAAGTTTATATTTGTTAACATTGTTCCTCATTTTAATTATTGTATTGTTTTAAGAGTTTTTACGCTACAAATAAGATATGTGCAACGTGCATAGGAATTCATTCATATATTTTTTTCAAATTATAATCCGGCCCTCCAACAGTTTGAGGGACTGTGACCTGGCCCTCTGTTTAAAAAGTTTGTGGACCCCTGGTCTATCCAATGCAAGTTTCTGAGTCAGCACCCAAATAACCAATCAAATCTAAAGTTGACCAAAGACTGATTCATAACCCTTTTGGTACTAATGTTGGATAGTGGTCCCTGGTCAAAAAAAGGTTAGAAACCACTGGCCTCTTGACTCAGTGCAGACTGTCCCTGGATTTACTAACTAGTGTAGACCCAGCCTGAGCCCTGTTTTCAGTAGGCTGTATTGTTATGGCACTTTGCATGCTAAATATACAATCTAAATGTTTGTGGAATGTATTAATGAAGCTTGATAAAAACTGACATGTGGAAAATACAAAGAAAGTTTAAACGATATTGAGTTGCCATGTGGACATTTCTGCCACAGTATTATGCTCAGCCCCAAATTAAGGAGATCATAAGGTTTTGCTTCAATTTGGAGACAAATTAGAGTGCATAGCTCAACATCCCCTCTGAACTTTTTTCATGTTAGACTTGTTTTTATTTGCTTTGGTTAGATGAACAAAGAGTGCTAGTTCGCTTCCATAAGAAAAGTGAATACTGTAAAAATTGTAATGTAACATTTTTACTTGAAGAGGTTGAAAGAACATAACTGGGGAACCGCCATACTAAAGCTTTAAGAAGTTTTTGGAAGAAAGAAAGTTGATGCCTTGCTGCAAACATGTTGAATTGTGTTGATGACTTGTGCATAAATCTTATCTTTTGTTTCACAAAGCAACTATCCTTGGGGAATAGGACGATGAAGGGGGGCTTTCCCATTCCCTCCTGTCCCTTGATGCCACCCTCAATTTCAAAATAAATAAACTGCTGAGTGAGAGGTAAAAATACTCAATGTTGAGCTCAGGCCACGTTGATAAGTTGAACTCTCATTTTTAGATCATAATGGTTGTAGTGTTATTTCAGTTTTTGAGGCTGAATGCAAACATTTTTCAGCTCTAATGAAAATATTGTTTGATACATTCTGGAATACTTCAAGTTCACAGTGTGCAAATTAGTATTGACACTATTAAAAGGCTTGGAAGCAAAGGGTTTTGTTTGTAACCGTGTTTTAATGCTGTAGAGTCATGTTCCAGAACATTTGCATTAGCAAAGTGAAAAAGTCAAGTAGCAAAGGAAATTCCACTGCCTTCTTTCAATGAAGAAGCTGCACCGGTTCATCTTTAAAGCAGACACAAGGAACAAGATGATGCCGATGAGAATGGATCAACTCCTCCAGGCGAGTAATTATTTCATAGTCAGGAAGAGTAACCGTGGCAATATTAAGGCCCAGCATGTGGGAGACTACTTCTCTGAAGTCTGATAGCTATAAGAAAATAAGGGTGGGAAGAAGATATACAGCATTAGGTATAATTTCTTTTTCTGCACCAATCTATCCATTTACCAAGATCTCCATTTAAAGCTCTTTTTAAAACTATGACAGCAATCTCGGGCATGGTGACTAATGTCTAGGCAGAAAGGTATCCAGCAATACTATCCATAGTCTGTAGTATGACATGCTTTGCAAAGCCTGAACTCACTCTTTCCAAAAAAAGAATTGGTAACAATAGTCAAATTCTGGGCCTCTTTTCCAAACACCTAATGAAAAGAGTAGTAAACATATTTGTATTGTATTGTATTTTGTCTAAACTGATGGCAAGGGCCCACTTGAAAATTATTCAATGGCTCAGATGGTTCATTATTGTTCCTAAATGGGCTGTGTTTTACTCAATTCCACATTACACATTTCAGAAGAATTGTTAGTTGGAGCCTGAACAATTTTTTCTTTGTTCGTGGTTTTCATTAAAACTATTTTATAACTGGATTGATGACATGGAGTGCTTTAGCCCCAGCTGCCTTGACTTGCATTAAATTATTCAGTCTCATCTAAAGGCCCTTCCACACAGCCATATAACCCAGAATATCAAGGCAGAAAATCCCACGATATCTGCTTTGAACTGGGTTATCTGAGTCCACAGTGCCATATATTCCATTTCAAAGCAGAAAATGTGAATTTTTATTCAGCTGTGTGGAAGAGGCCTAAGAGTCTCCTCAGATGAGAAAAAGCTCTTTTTGTGCTTGTATTTGGCACACAACATTCAGTTAGCATTTAAGGAAGTGGACATGCTAAAATGATAATCAGGCTGTATAAATAAAGATGTATTCCAACTCTAGTGAAGGCATACTATATTTCAAAAGACTGATGTTTTAACAAGAGATGCTCACCCCATTTTCAAAAAATTTTTTATTCAAGGTCTTAAAATGCAAATTGAGTAGTTGTATCTTAGAATCAATTATAACCATCACACAGTCAGAAGATACTGAAAGGCCATCCAGCACAAAGCCCTACTATGCCACACATAAGTACTCCCAAAAGAAAACCATACATCCTCTATTTAAAGACTCAGAAAAGAAGAGTCCATCACCCTCCAAAGCATTCTTGAAAGAGAAGTGTTTTTTTTGTCTTTAATGACATAATGGGCCATGGCATGGAAGAAGTTCCATTACAGTTCATGTATTGATGACTATCCAAGAAATGTCAGTGAGATTTATGCAATCAGATTCTGCACAAAACTTAGCAACTGCAAATTTGAATTTTAGTTGATATAGGAATTCCTTATTTCTGGTAATAATACATCATGCACAATTTTGATAATCTGGAATATATTGACAAGCTGGAATGTATCCAGAGGAGGGTGACTAAAATGATCAAGGGTCTGGATAACAAAGCCCTATGATGGGCGGGTTAAAAAGAGCTGGGCATGTTTAGCCTGCAGAAGAGAAGACTGAGAGGAGACATGATGGCCATGTATAAATATGTAAGGGGAAGTCATAGGGAGGAGGGAGCAAGCTTGTTTTCTGCTGCCCTGGAGACTAGGATGCGGAGCAATGGCTTCAAACTACAGGAAAGGAGATTCCACCAGAACATTAGAAAGAACATTCTGACCGTGAGAGCCGTTCAGCAGTGGAACTCTCTGCCCTGGAGTGTGGTGGAGGCTCCTTCTATGGAGGCTTTTAAGCAGAGGCTGGATGGCCATCTGTTGGGGGTGTTTTGAATGTGATTTTCCTGCTTCTTGGCAGGGGGTTGGACTGGATGGCCCACAAGGTCTCTTCCAACTCTATGATTCTATGATTTGTATACCTTAAAAGAAGTGCAAAAGTCTCTCAATAACTACCTTTGATATTCAAATATTGCATTTTATTATTTGCAGAACTGTTTTGAGAATATATACAAATGGACAGGCTATTGAACAGGAGTAAGTAAATTATAAAGGATTCGGGTTTTTTTTTTTTTACAGAGACATGCAAGTATCCCTCACAGTGGGAAATCCAAAGCGGAACAATATAGCACCATGAAAAGTACGAACATATATGCATAACACTTAGAAAATTGGATGGATAAATTGAAGCTTGATTCAGCCATCACTTCAACGTGCGGCTTAACATAATTGCCTTGGGCCAAATACATGAATTTTGAAAAAGAATTTAGTCAAAACAGAAGGAAACAACATTGAAGTTCTGTACAATTAATATTGAAGTCACACATTAAATATTACACACTTCATTGCATGACCTAAACTAATGTCAAAATATGTGCAAACCTTTATTTGTGGTTCACTGTGTTTTAAAGGTCACATTCCAAATGATTGCAATTGTTGTGTGCTCTTTAATTTAGTATTATTAAAATAGGTGACATTTGATACAACAGACTACATTATTCTTGTTTTTGATGTAATGACAAGTTTTGAAAAATACGGGTATGATTATTATAAAATAAAGTATTTTCTACAAACCAAATACTTTATCACATAAACTTGCTGTATCATTGATAGTGGATATACATACTGTATACACAATGTTGTGCCTTTCTTCAGTTATGCAATTGTGCTGATTCATCGATCTGTGGTCCCTTGATTGTACTTCCACACATGACGCAGCCTTTTTGCACTACTGCTGTTTTCTAATTTTATATTATTTTTATTTTACCACAATCCCAGCATTTACAAACAAAAAAGGCAAATATAAATATTAAAGGAAATTAAAAACAGCTTGCTTGGGAATAGTAAGAGAGAGGAGGGAGAGGAAAATCGAAGAATTCCACCTCCAACAACAGTTTACTGTCAGCATGCCAGCAAAAAAAAGTAGAAGGGGCCCAATTGCACCAAGGTAGGAGATGGGAAGACTGTGGCATTGAGAGCTATTGATGTGATTTACCTGTTCATAGCTAAGAGAAGGGAGTATCACCAGGAGAAGGGAGGCAGCAGGATGCACATGACATCATGTGATGGGAGGGCAACACCAAAGGTCCATATGCCATGCCAGACTGACTGCCTTATGCCTTAAAATCCTAAATCTATACCACAGGGAGAGGGGCAGATTTGTCCTTCCTTCCCCAATCATGATCTTAAATTACCCCCCTGGCACAGGTAATTAAAAAAAGTATCTGTTGGTTAAAAAAAATACTAATGTAAAGTTGTGGGTAGACAACAACAACAGAATTCACAGTAGCCAAGTGGATTTGCTGACCAAAAAGGCTAATTATTATGCTATAGTGAAATATTTAATCTACAGTTTTTGAAAGTCCAAAAACCCCTACCACTGCAGCTTTTCACTTGTTTTAATACTTGCAATGTTTAATTCTATTCTAACATTTATATTTTGTAGGTTTTAAAATTATGTTGTTTTTAAAGATGTGGGCCACATTGGATCCCAGTCCTTGGAGAACAGCAGGGTAATAATAATAATAATAATAATAATAATAATAATAATAATAATAATAATAATAAATAAAAAATTATTACTCGCCACCTCTCCCTCTGGCTTGAGGCGGGATACAACATCATTAAAACAAGAGATAAAACAACATTAAAAGGCATACAAAAATACACAGAGTTCAAATACAAATTAAAATCCAGTGATAAAATGTAGATTGAAATTCGACTTAAAATTGACTGGGTGGGTCTGCCAGAAGAGATGGGTCTTAAATTGTGTCTTAAATTCCAACAGCTGACATAGCTGTCGAATCTCTTCCAGGAGGTTATTCCACAGTCTTGGGGCAGCCAATGAAAAGGCCCTCTGGGTGATGGTTGCCAGGTGGCTTCTGGCAGGCTAGAGTAGATGCCCCCCAGAAGACATGATTGGGGCGGATTATACGGGAGAAGGCGACCCTGTAGGTAACCTAGACTCAAACCATGTAGGGATGTAAGGGTCAAAATAAATATAGTAGTAGTAGTAGTAGCAGTAATTAAGAATGTTAGTGACATTCTATTAGCAGGTGTCTCTGGGTGATGGTTGCCAGGTAGGTTCTAGTAGGCTAGAGTAAATGTCCCCCAGAAGACGTGTTTGGGGCAGACTGTACAGGAGAAGGCAACCCTAGAGGTAACCTGGACCCAAAACATGTAGGGATGTAAGAGTCAAAATAAATATAATAGTAGTGGTAGTAGTAGTAGTTAAGAATGTTAGTGGCATTCTATTAGCAGGTGTCTGTGGAACCTGCTTCTTTTACCAACTTTCTCTGCAGTAACTTAGAGCATGGTGTCATGCCAAACCTTAAGGTTCTAGCAAATATAGAATTTCTCCAAATACCATCTTTAAAGTGATTCAATAGGCCCTATTGAAACTATTCACCAATCTCATTGTCAGTTTAGGTATATTTCCTCTTCAGCACCCAATGTTTATTCAATGAAACTGACATCAGTTACTCCTATTTTATTATTATACTTTGGAAATATCATCTGCTGCTCTTTCTTTGCAAACACCTCCGTTGCTGGACTTGGCATGTAATATGGAACTTTTTTGAATACCTGTTCCTTTCTTTTCGTTACTTCTTCTAAAGCAGACTTGAGTGTTGTGAGTTCATTTCTAACAGATTCCAGCATGCTTTTGGCCTTTTCTTTATCTTCCTTTGCATCTCGCTCTACAACATATAACTCAGCCTTGACAGAGGTCAGATGTCTCTCAGCTTTAGCCTTCAATTTTTCCAGGTTCTCCTGGGACTTGCTTAGATCTTCTATGGTTTTGTCCTGTTCCAGCATTTTGATCTGCAAACAAATTCCAGAGGGGATTGCCTCAGTAAGACTGTGAGCACTGGGACCAAAGTTGCCTGAGAGAGAAGATATATCATGCCAAACTATATTGAATAGAAAAGAAGAAAAATATATGAAAAGAATTAAAGATGTCCTTAACCTAAAAATAAACACAGGGGACTCCTATTTTTCTGCAGTTGAAGCTGAAGATCATGCAATTAACTCCCACCTCACCTCATGCTCCTTTTCCTGATATAAAGTCCCTTTCTTGAGCTGCTTTTTATCTTGATCAAAATACTGAATGTCACTCCTCACAGTGCAAATAGCTGATGGAGGGAGCAATTTAGATGGGAAATTATGTAAAGAAATGGGTTTTGGTCCCAGCACCATTTCTCTAGACAAAATCAGAGTCCATGAAGCTGGTTTTAAGGGAGGGGAAAAAAGACACATCTCAGAAGAGCTAATAATAGACTTCTTATGTAGATTAGCCACATTATCTCCTTGATTTAAGAGCTGTTTGGCCACATTTATAGACACCATGCATCTGATAATGTGGGAAGAGGGGCTGACCAAGGGCAAGATGGATGGATGGCATCCTTGAAGTGACTGGATTGACCTTGAAGGAGTTGGGGGTGGTGATGGCCGACAGGGAGCTCTGGCGTGGACTGATCCATGAGGTCACGAAGAGTCGGAAATGACTGAACAAATGAACAACAACAAAAGCCCATTAAAAAGGATGACATAATCAACCTGTCAATCTTGATTCTTAATTCTTTCTGTCTGTTGTCATAATGCTAAACAGAAAAGGGAATAGAGGGTATATTAAACACGCTTCTCTGCTATCTGTAACAACATAAGACAGAGGTTCGGGAGCTGCCAGGTGTAATGCACTCATTGGTCAAAAGCTGCAGTTTTGATGTGCATACATTTTCTGCTCCTGTTTTCCAAGACAGAAGTGGCACTTGGCTTGGGGCCTTTTGCCCATAAAGACATAAACATAGACTATGGACCTCTTCACATGGGGCAAAATAACCCCATTTTGATGCTATTACCCAGGACTTGGACAGGGCCTGCTGAGTGCCATCAGTCAATGCATGGCAGGCTCCACCCACATTCCTCCCAAAATGGAGTAGAAGCATCAAAAGGCACTTCCTCCTGCACAATGGGAAAGAAAGTGTTTTTCGGGTAGCTCCGATGGCGTTACCCACACTTTCCTCCCCTTTTCCCTATATGATGAAGGAAAGGGCAGCAGAGCAATACACGTTGCTGTCCTTTCTCCCATCTGATAGGGACAGGGTGCCAACACACCTATGTGATGGGGGAAGGAGGGAAGGCATGCTGGGTAGCATGAGGCATCCTGTGTGCCTTCCCTTTCACTGGAGACTGCCTGCACAATGGGCCATGTGAAGAGGTCCTATGTTAAGGCCTCCAAATCTTAGCTGGTCTGTCTCCTATCTATAAGGACTAAGGAGCAAGAAGTCAGTGCCTGGCAGCTGGCAGCAGGGAAGCACACAGACAGCCAAGGAAGAGAGAGCTGTCTCAAGTGGGCATTGCTTCTTTCATACTTTCCCAACATGGACTAAGCCCTTGGACTCTGGGAACTTACTCCATGCCGAGACAGTCAGGGAGTGAGGGGGCGATTACTGCTACTCTCCCCCCACCTCCTGAAAGAGAGGCTGCTATGTAAATATGTGCAAAGCAGCCTCAGCTTTGAGAGGCAGGTAGTAGTTGTGACCACTCACCCAGGCACCTCCTGAAGCTAGGATTGTGGTGTAAATGTGCACAGAGTAGTCCTAGCTTTGGGAGGTTGGCAATGGCTACATTTCCCTCCCCTCCTCTCCTGAAGATAGGCTGGTATGTGAATGTGGAGATGGCCCCGAGTTTGGGAGGGGGCAGCAGTTGTGGCCTCGGCACACATTCTTTGTGCTTGCTGCCATTTGAGAAGTCCCTCAGCCAGTTGCTTGCAAATTCTGGGAAACACTTACATGATTGTTTTAAAATGAGTTATTTTCTGAAATCCAAGATCTTGAAGATCACAAATTTCAAAGCAAATTGCTTTCCTTGCCAAATAACCAAGATGAAGTACACAGATTTGGAAACGTACTTTTCATTGCAAACCATGCACCTTCATTGGTGCACTTTCCAATCAGGTTTAAAATGTGAGATTAATTTTATTACCCACCTTCAATTCACTGGTGTCAGCGAGCTTAACCTTAAGCTCTGTGTTTGTTTCTCTTGCCAAAGCAAGTTCATTCTGCAACCTTTCCAGCTTTTTTTGCAACTTTCTGACTGTAAGGTTAGCTTCGTCTCTTTCCACTGCCAGAGCTGTGCGCACTTGCTTCTCCTCTTCTAACTGAACTATCTTCTGACGCAAAAGTTTCAGTTGTAGCTCTTTGTTGTACAATTGCTCTTTCTGAGTTTTCAGCTATGTTTCAGAGATTTAAAAAAGAGGTACAGAATAAACTTGTATTGTCATATTTCCCCCTTGTCAAACATAATGGCAATTCTGTTTTCATGTGTAGCCTCCTTGTGCAAAAGCAATTTGTGGGACCTCAAATCCTTCAAATTCCCCAGCCAGCACGGTGATCAGCCAGCTCCTTCTGGAAGCTGGAGTAATTCTCTCTAGTTTCTTCCTACATAGTTGTCACTCTCACTTATTTCATCTTCACCAAAAACCACTAAAATAATTTGGAAAAATCTGTGAATGGCAAACTTCTTGGCTAAATGGGATTCAAACTGAGTTCTCGCAGATCCTATTTTGATTATCCATCAGTATAAACAATCAGTTATTGAACATTTTTTCAACAAATAACACTTTAAAATCCTGCTCAGCTTTTCATACCTTCCTTTGCAGATTCCACACTATGATCTTATTTTCTATCAACGTGTCTCCTTCCAGTTTGATTAATTGTTCCACACGTGCCAATACTGCATCCAATCTCATGTCAAATCCAATATCAACTGCCATTTTGTCAAGATTCATTTTTTCAGAAAGTTGATCCAGAAACTTAAGATACTTCAGAGAGAAAATGTGGAAAGAAGTGAAAATCAGTAACAAAAGGTTATATTCAAAACAAAACAAAACCCTGACTTCTTATATTTTAGTAACCACTTTGATGTAGGATTTATTTATTTCATGGTATAATCTTTTTCCTGCAGAAATTTGCCAGAAGTGTGGGTGAAAAATCACCCTGTCTTGGCATACATCTTTTGGCATATGTAATGAATCAAAAAGAAAACATTTAATCTGGATTTCTCCTGTTGTGTTTGGCATTCTTTTGATTTGATGCATTACAGGAAACACATTTTAAAACAACTTAGATTTCCCAAAAGAAATGTAAAATCAAGGCTGAAAACAATGAGTTTTTGGTTGCTATTGTTCATTTAGAAATATTAGTCAGATAGAACATTAAGAAAGTTTGAAGATGTGTAAATGCATAAGAAATTGCAGATCTACAAGAATTATTCTTTCAAATTGGACATTTCACTCATATAGCTCCAGATCACTCAGAAAACCTTATACATCCAGCCAGATTTGTCACAATTACGATTTTCAAAGGATTACGTTTCTTTAAGTATCATACTGGATGACATAATCTCTTTTCAATTCTATTTTGATATTATTAATTTAACTACCCAAAACAATTAGGTACTGGTATTGTATTCTTTCGGCAAATGAATGAAAGATTGTATTATTCCTCTACACCATTGGTTCTCAACCTGTGGGTTCCCAGATGTTTTGGTCTTCAACTCCCAGAAATCCTAACAGATGGTAAACTGGTCTGGATTTATGGGAGTTGTAGATCAAAACACCTGGGGATCCACAGGTTGAGACCCACTGCTCTACACAGAATTCCCTGGCAGGTGGGGGGGAGCACTGGGAGTTGGGACAGAGCAGTCCTCTTGATTTATTTGAGAAAGTGACTTCCTATAGACAGTTCTTTCAGCCCCATGAAACTACTGAAAAAGCAGCAAGTCCTAGAGCTGAGTCCCGAATAGACAGACAATTTGGAAACTGGGGTCAAGGTCAGTTGGAAGGATTAAGCATAAGATGACCCAGAGGACTAATCAGGTAAGAAGTAAACTGAACAGAATGATATTGAAAGACACACATAAGAGAAAACTGCTAGAGCAGGCTCCAATGCAAAAGCTACTGTTGCTCCTGATTGTTCTGTATACAGCATGTGCTTCCAAGGTTTTGAAATCAGGGAAGCAAATAAGCAAGTACCATTTAGAACAATGAAGATTGTCGTTCCACTCCACAAGCAACCTATGTTTAAATAAACATCTACGGTGCATCAAAATGTGTTTTCTGGAACAGACTGCTACAGTTACTCCTCAGAATAGCCCCCCCCCCTCTTTTCTCAATCAGAAAACAATGCCTCTTAAACCATGTCCTTTCAAGAATATGCCAACACTATTCTTGTTTCAGGAGAGAAATGAATCAGCATAGTGTGTTCAGATTTGGAGGTCTTCCTGTGTCATGCTCTGCCTCTACCTCCCTCCATTCATATGGATTGAGGCTGTTGGAAAACCCATCAAATGATGTGCTTTGGGGAGCTTTTACCACAGTACCACAGGAGCCTCCCGGAAGCACAGTGGGTTAAAGCGCTGAGCTGCTGAACTTGCTGACTGAAAGGTCGCAGGTTCGAATCCAAGGAGCAATGTGAGCTCTCGCTGTTAGCCCCAACTTCTGCAAACCTAGCAGTTTGAAAACCTGCAAATGTGAGTGGAACAATAGGTACTGCTCCGGCAAGAAGGAAACAGCGCTCCATGCAGTCATGCTGGTCACAAGACCTTGGAGGTATCTTCGGACAACACTGGCTCTTCAGCTTAGAAATGGAGATGGGCACCAATCCCAGAGTCAGACACAACTGGACTTAATGTCAGGGGGAAACCTTTACCTTTACCTGCCACAGTATAAAGGAAGATATATCGGACCTTACCAGAAAACTTTTCAGTTGTAACAGGAAAAGCAGGGATCTTGTTTGCATGGGAAGAATCCATGCAAACAAGGAGTTTCTTCTCTTCTGACAAAGCACTAATGCCTGAGTAGAGCTTTTGTGTGACTAGCCACCTATCAATTCTCAATCAATTTTCATACTAAAGGGCTGACATTCCCTTCACAGCTTTGGAAAGTTAATAAACATTGCTTGGATGGGAGGAAAAAGCTTGGATTTTCCGATTACAATACAGACTGTTTCTGGGAATTTCAGTGCATCTTTACTCCTTCTCATAGAACAATGTCATATATTTGCCAAAGGACATTAAATGATGACTGAACTCAAATGCTTGTTTACTTTTTCAAGCTGTACTTTAACCCTTCCTTTAGAGGAGAGGTGGGATTGCTGCACTCCATGGTTCACATTCTACATGGCCCTTGGTCCCCAAACACCATTAGTAGACAAAATTCTCCTTTTTGATCCAAAAATCGGCTTTAGGGCACCTATTTTGGCCTGTAAATACTATTGTGCTCCCTCATATCAAACAAAAAAAAACCATTTTGATTATTGTTGATTCTGCCAGAGCAGGCTACTGAGAAGCACGAGGTGTTGAAAGTGGCTCTGTGCCCTTTGTGCGTTTGCAGCTGCTTCATAGGGTCAACTACTGTACAACTGCAGCTCTGCAAGTGTTTAAAACAATATTTAAACATTTTAGGTGTGTTGAAGTAGTCATGCTCCAGCTAAACAAGACAAATCCTAAAACATTTCATGGAACTCCAAGCTGACAGAAAATGGAGCAAAGAAAAAAACAAAGGTCGAAAAAACCTTTTTTTTCTCTGCTACTTTCAAATCCAAAATTCAAAAGTAAAAGTTGTTATCTACAGCTTGTACTGTCCCCTATCCTGGCAGTAAGGGGGGATCTACACTGCAGAATTAATGCAATTTGAAACAACTTTAACCACTATATCTCAATTCTATGGAATTTTGGAATTTCTAGTTTGTTGTGACACTTGCACTCTTTGACAGAGAAGCCAAAAACTCAGTCTAGCTTGTTTTGGGACCTTTCAGTAAAACTATTACTTTTTGTTTCTCAAGCTTCAGGGCATCTCGTATCACGTCCCCAGATACCAGCTCGGCTTCCAGACGCATCAATTGATTGTGCAGTGTCTCAGAACTGCTTTCAGTTTTTCTGGTCCTTTGCAAAGCCTCCTGGTAACACGTATTCTGAGTCTCCAGTGTCTTGGCAAGTTCAGCTATTTGGGTTTCCAGCTGGAATACCATCTGGGGGAAGAGAAAGCAAAGTCAAGTCATTGGCTGACCATGAAATCAATCTGCAGGACAAAGATTTCATCAGCATATCAGAAATAGTTTAATAATTGTTTTCCATTCAATGAGCACAGGAAGAATTGCAAATTGATTAGAAAATGCATAATTAATTCAAAAGAAGTTATGGTTCAATTTCATTAAGAAATATTTGGTTGTAATCTTTCTAGATTTCTATTTCTGTGTCAATCAAACATGAAAATACATATGGATGCATAAATCTGCAGCTAAACATCTTCTGTTATTAAACATAGCTATAGAAACCTCAGTATGGAAGTCACATGTAGGCTCCACTACAACCTGAATGACCAATTCAATGAAATTTCATAGACTCATAGAGTTGGAAGAGACCACTTTATAGTTTTGTATATTTTGATTACATGTATTCCTGAGTTGTTTTGTATTATTATCATCATCATCATCATAACAAGATGAGTCCACAGCAGACAAGATCACTCTGCTGGCTGTTGCATTGGATCACACTTCAGACACTTCCCAAGTGTCTAGGACTGTGTGATGTATCGGTGAATGATGTGTGCAGATCGCAGTAAGGTGGCCTTCTGCAGCTGGCAGATGGTAATTTTGTCAGTGCCGATTGTGTTTAAGTGCAGGCCAAGGTATTTAGGCACTCCACCCAGTGTGCCGATCACCACTGGGACCACCTTTACTGGCTTGTGCCAGAGTCTTTGCAGTTCGATCTTTAAATCCTCATATCATGTCAGCTTTTCCAGTTGTTTCTCTTCTCTATTATTATTATTATTATTATTATTATTATTATTATTATTATTAAGTGTATTTGATCTGGATGATTCTGTGTGTGTGTGGCCACACACATATTTTAGATTATACAGGACCCAGGATTACAGTGTGTGTTACTGTAATGTATCATGTACACTTGATGGGGAAAAAAACAAAAAGTAATGATAATGATGCATGTTTTTCTGCTGCTATAGATCTGTTTGGAGACTGTAAGATTCCATGTAAACTTTTGTACAACAGTTCAGGAGAATTTGCCATGCCTGCAATTATACAAAGTGAAAGATAAATCAAGCTGTACTTGACAAGTTTGGCATCCACCGCTAAAGAATTAAGTATAATTAACAATGCAATTCTGTATGCTTAGAATGTCCCTTTCAGTTCAGTAGAATTTTCTAATTATGCTTAAGGCTGCTCTGTAAATGTAGCCTAATTTCAGTGAAGTCACCTTTGCGTCACATTCAAGTGTCAATTAAAGTTCAGAAATTAAGTCTAATTAAAGATGTAGGGAACAAGGAATCTTTTAAAGAGTCAAATGAATAATATCGATATCAGCTTTCTATAGCATTTTTCTACTGACTAAATTGTTTGTGCATTTTTAAACATTCTGTTTATACTGACCAATTTATAATATCTTGGATTAATAGGAATTTAAACACAATCATCCTGTAAAATAAAGATAAGGAACTTGTTGCTCTCCAGGCCTACAGGAATTCAACTCTCACCATCCCTTCCTATCAACTATGCTATCTAGGGCTGATGGGAATTGCACTCCAAACTCATTTTCACTCCTGCAGTTTAAAAAAGATGAGCATTGACTGCATCCTGTAATGCTTAATATAGTTTTGTATCTGGTTCATACTCATCATCTATTGCCTTTTCATTATTAGTATACAATTATACTGCTGTTAGTATTCTACTAATTCTACTGTTAATAACATCTTATTGAATCCTGGGATTTGTAATTTGTGGAGCCATGAGAGCTCTGTGGTTAAGAATTCTACCTTTCCGTAAAATAGAAATCCCAGGATTTCATAGGATGTTGTCATAGCAGCAAAAAAAAAAAGGTATTAAAACACAACCATACAGTCAGTGTGACAAGGCCCAGGGAGTTCTTCCATGCCACCAACAAAACTTTCACACCTCCCAAAGTTGTGCAATGTTGGCACTTGAATGATATGAATTCTAGCTTGCTTCCTATGTTTGCCCTATCTGGTGGACGTGTGCAATGTTTTTTTCCCTTATTTTTTCCTTCCCCTGCTATTTTGTTGCAACTGTGTAGTCACACAGTTTTGGCGAGATATTACTCATCTTTGCAACATCGAGACAGGTTATCACACAAAGGAAAGTGATGGAAAAACGGTGAGATTAGATTCATTGATTAGCTTTCCCAACAATGAAAAGAGATAACCCAATAACAAGTCAAGCACAAACTGACTACAGGAGAGACTCGGCATTGTGTGGTAAACTCCATCGAAAGGTGCTTTTATTCTGCTGTGACTGCACTATCAGCCTCATGTGAGAAAATCCTGCATGTGTGCAGGCCCCAATTTCCAACCATCACTAGATGCAGGGATTAAAATATTGAGCATCTCGACCTGACATTAAGAAGTTAAGCTGTATGTTTTGTCAGCATCCAGTCTCATTGCTATAAAGGTGACTGAATCTTTGATTAAGGCATATACTAAAAAGACAAACAAAATAGAATTCACATAAAATTCAAACACACAAGCTATGTGGAGGGATGTTTTTCACATAGATAGCAAGTGTCAGACACTGGCACTTAAAAAAAGAAATTGCAGCTTAATTATGTATATTTCAGGCAATGGCATTTGTGTTGAACCAGTACAAGGATGTGCACAGGCTGCTTAAGTCTTTTGGTGGAGTATGCCAATTAAGTATCCATAATATTACCAACTCATTCAAGGGAATCTTTATAGTTGCATTAATAATACCAATCATATTAGGAACCCTTTTCAAGGCAAAAAAAAAAAGCATAGGAGAAAAAGGAAGGCAGGCAGGACACAAAAGGTAGGACAGAAAGGGAGATTTCAAATTAGATAGATCAGCAGGGAAATAGGACAAAGGGAAGACTGAGAACAGAGCTGCCTTCACACTCCTTCATGACCAGATGGATATGGATCACTGGGCCTCATAATGGTAATGTGGTCCTGTTGTTTCCCAAAGAGTCAGATACAAGTAACTTAATGAACAGGCTGCAGGAAAAGAGATTCCACCTGAATATGAGAAAGAACAGTAAGAATTTATTTATTTATTTATTTATTTGCTGCATTTGTTAACCGCCGCTCTCAGCCCTAGGGCGACTTCTGACAGTAGAATATGCTGCTGACAGTACCTTCTGACAGTATAATATGCTGCTTTGGATTGTGGTGAAGTCTCCTTTTTGGAGAGTTTTAAGCAGAGGCTAGATGGCAATCTGTCAGGAGTGGTTTGAATAAGTGTTCTTGGATGGCAGGGGCTGGACAGCTCTTGTCGTCTATTTCAGCTCAATGATATTTTTCCTTCTATGAATACCATACTCTGACCCAACAGAGAGGAACAAAGGAGTTGGTCTAATAAATGCCAGAACTTGATGTAACTGAGGGTGGAGACGGGTAAGGGCTTGAATTGAATTATTACACTGAATTAATATACTGCAAAATATTTAAAATATTAAAGACTGATGTGCTTTTAGGCCACCAACTTCATGCCAACAGAAGTTTTTTTTAAAAAAAAAATCTGAAACAGGTTTGGCCAAAAGAACACTAAATCTGATTATATCAAACCCTATAAACAATAAAAATGAATATTCACTGTGGTGCTTCATTATGTTGCAGACTTCTCCCATGGATGAATATTAGATACTCACCACCTTCACAAACCCATTGAAATCTAGTGTTTTAGATGTTTATTTGTTCATTTTTAGTTCCACCCTCAGAGGACATATTGCATTGTCTCTCTGATTGCCAGATGTAGTCCTGGTGTTTGCAAGGTGGCTTGAGTTTGTAAGCATTTATGCACGCAATGCCCACTTTTCTCCTGACAGCTTCAATGCTCAAAGATTATGACATTTCAAATATAAATGCATTATGTTACCCGTGACTGAGGTACAAAGGGAAAAGATTTATGGAAATGATGTGAACTGCATAAACAGTAACAAAGGCAAGCAAACAAAAGAGCTACAGCTAAAACAATAAATCAAACAGCAACAAGCCATAATGTCGCTGTTTATTTCATAGCTTCAAAACTTCTTCATTTTCCATTCTTTTAACGTATAAACCATGCTGGATTCCACAATGAGAGAATGGTAGGACAGAAATAAAATGAACGCTAAATAAATAAATTTCAATTGGGAGGGGGGAGGTGACCTTGTCAGTCCTCCAGCTAACAGTGAACTATCACCAAGTAGTAGGGCCAAAGCTTGAAACTTCATTTTTTTAACTTTGAACTTCCAGAATCCCTCAGACAAAATGACCATTGTGAGCTGGAGTCCTAAAAAGAAATTTTCTCAACCAAAGCTAAGAATGGGAACATGTTTCCCAGAATAAGTGGGCATCTACATTGTAGAATTAATGGAATCTGATATAACCTTAACTGCTCAATGCTATGGAATTATGGGGATTGTAGTTTGTTGAGGCACCAGCACTCTTTAGCAGAGAAGGTTAAAGACTTTGTAAGACTACATCTCCCATGATTCCACAGAATAGAGCCAAGACAGCCAAAGTGGGGTTGAACTACATTCATTCTACAGTGTAGATGTGTGCTAAGTGAAGTAATAGAACACAACATACACAAGGACACGATAGATAGAAAGAGAGAGAGGGGGGGGGAGAGAGCTATTGAAATGAATGATGTTATGACTTGCTAGTTTTGGGATAACCAAAATGTGTTTTCAAGGCAGTAACTAAAGCACTGGTTCTCAACCTGTGGGTCCTCAGATGTTTTGGCCTTCAACTCCCAGAAATCCTAACAGCTGGTAAACTGGCTGAGATTTCTGGAAGTTGTAGGCCAAAACACCTGGGGACCCATAGGTTGAGAACCACTGAACTAGAGTGACATTGAACATCCTTGAAAACTCAATGAAAGTCATAGGTCAGCCAGGCCAGCTCCAAATTCTCCGATACAAGCGCAGCCTAACACAGTAAAGTTACTCAATGTGACTAGTGGACATGAACAAGACAACTCCAGATATGTGGCACAGG